GCGTGGTGCACAATAGAAGCTTCTAAATTTACTTAGATCTCCCCTTTCCGTCCGTCTATCTGTTTATTTGTTATTTCAACTTTATAAAATAAGATAGTCCTTAAGGTGTGGTTTATGAATCTGTTTTCACTTTTTACCCTAGACATCCTGTTGTTGTTTTTCATGTTCAGAATTCTCTATTGACTCTTAATTATTATTGCGAGAAAATTATTGGATATTTCCACTACCTCTGCATAGCGTAGTACAGTTATGATTGGTTTTAATATCACTATAATTAGTGTTATTTTTGTTTTATGTATTACATTCCCTGCAAACTTAAAGAGCTAGTGATAAAATGATTACAGTAAGTTATTTTTGTTTTTCTTGAAGGTATGTATATTTTCGCATTTGATTAATTCTTCAATGTTCGAAAGCACATTTTGTTCCACGTTTCAGCACTGAAAAATTTCTCTTCTCTGGTCTCGTCTTCACACAATAGAAAGGTCGTAAAACAATACACCGCCCCAGGCCGTGCTCCTCGATAGTTATAGTTCAAGACCTTGTCCAAAACTTTATGAAGCAGAAAGTAACATAATAATTCCAATATTAATAAAACCCATTATTAAAACCAATTTTAGCAAGTCGGAGCTACCGGGATTTTCATAATAATTGTTATTACCTCATCATCTAATTTCGTGACTGACATCAGCGTTTTCGAAACAACCACCAGTAGTCCAAATTAGACAGAACCGTAGCCGAACTTCTCGAGGCTCTGCGATTTTTTGACCCGTATTCCACAATATCCGGATTTCTATCTCGATATGAATTAATACCACTTGTTTCATACTTGTAAAGTTCAAAAGCTCATTATCGTAATAAATTGGAATTACTGCAGCGTTTATTATTTATTTCCCATTAAATTTTATTAGTCTACTTTTCCAGTGCCGTTATAAATAATAAATCAGGGAAAAAATCTTGCCAACAATAATTATCGTAAAACGATTTTCTTCAAACGAAACCAATATGTTGCGCTTGACATTTATTTGAATGATTCAGAAGAGGCGGCTTACAGGAGCGATAACCATCTGGAACACCGTGTAAATAGAGATAGGATCGGCTTTATTCGAATTGTGTGCCATTGTAGCAAGCCTGACTAAACGATTCTTCATTAACCGTACACCTAGGGGACACCCGGCCACTTCGGCCACCAAAGAACGTAATTATAATATGTATGTAAATAGTTAGATACACCACAAGATGCAAAAAATTATGCAACACAAATAAAACATACGGGGGCTTTTTTTTTCGAACTTCACGCACTTAAAATTGACATTTCATAAAATACCTCGCATTTATGATCTGACACGCTGACCTAATCGCATGTTCTCTATTTGCATCCATGATGGATGACTTCTGAAAATCGTGCAAGCGGCGAATTGTTGCGAGTCATGTGAACGTCATCACCTGGTGAACTGGAATGCATTGGATGATGCACAACTCGTCGATTTTCAGTAAACTAAGAAACCGAAATAAAACGTTAATTAGGCCCAATGATAATTAAACAGCTGATTTTAGGCTAAAAGAAGCCAAAATAATCCCCAAAATAAACGAAAAATGTCAAAATAGGCAACGTCTGTTTTTTTTGAGGTTTATATTATTTTATTATTTTGCATAATCAGATTTTTTTGAAAATTTTTCCTTTTGTCTGATAGGACATTTTTATACCTAGAGAAGGATCTGTCAGTATCACACGATGTTAAAGGAGAATATTTAAAATTAGAAATTTTAATGAGTTTTATTTTTTACATTTTCGTCTTGTAATACCTACTTATTTTTAATTTTTTTTTTCTTAACGTTTGTATATTTTTCTTTCAACACTGTGTTTCACATGGTAGAATCTTTGTAGAGAAATAAACATTTTGCAATTAAGCTCCGCCCCTTGACTCACGACATATAAGAAAATTTTCACAATTGAGATGAGGGTGGGTGGGCGGGGTTTCTATTTTGCCGTTTCTTTTTCTTAATATATACGTAGTTTTCTATTCACGACAATAAACTGAAAACTTGTTTAAAATGGTAAATTTGTGGAGAAGTGTTGGAGATAAAATTTACCATTTTAAGCATGTTTTCAGTCTTTTGTTGTGAAGAGTAGGTAAGTATATTAAGAAGGAAAGAGAAGTCAAATAATAAGCCCCGCCCACCCACCCTGTTTCAGTTGTGACGATTTTTCTTTATTCGTTGTGAGCAAGGAGGCGGACCTTAACTGCAAATTCCTTATTTTTCTACGAGAAATTACCATGTGAAAAATGTTCTCAAGTCTGTTAGGACATTTTTACACCTAGAGGATTTGTCAAAATCACACGATGTTAACGGAGAATATTTAAAATTAGAAATTTCAGTGAGTTTAATTTTTAAATCTTTTTCTATATTTTCGCCTTGTAATACTTTGCTACCAAGTTTAAGGTATATGTAGTCGGTATTTTTTTGTAAAGTATCTTGCAGTTTTTTAAATGACATTTCACCTACTTCCTCTGGGGTATCTTCCAAATATTTTTACAAATCCACTATTATATCCACAGACTGACCTAATATTAGCCCTATGGTCTCTAATCTTATTTTTGATTTTTTTTTCTTGACATATGTATACTTTTCCCTCAACATAAAAAACATGTTTCACATTGTAGTTTCTTCTAGAGAAATAAGAATTTTGCTATTAAATTCCGCCTCTCGGCTCACGACAAATTAAAAAATTCATCACAATAGAGAGAAGGGTGGGTGGGCGGGTTTTGTATTTTGCCGTATTTTTCTTAATATATGCACGTGGTTTTCTATTCACGACAAGAAACTGAAAACTTGTTTAAAACAATAAATTTGTAGAGAAGTGTGGGAGATAAAATTTACCATTTTAAACATGTATTTAGTCTTTTGCTGTGAAGAGTTTGTATATTAAGAAGAAAAGAAACATAAAATCATAAACCCCGCCCACCCTCCCTGTCTCAATTGTGACGATTCTTCTTTATGCGTTGTGAACAAGGAGGCAGAGTTTAATTGCAAAATTTTGATTTTTCTATGAGAAATAAGCATGTGGAACGTGTTCTCAAATGCATTTAATAGAATTTCGAAAATTTTGTTGAAAATTGGTCCAAAATTGGGGTATTTTGCATATTTTTGAATGTTTCAAAGGACGACTCTGGAAGAACCATTGGAGTTATCGAAGAAATGAGAGGGGATATGACTTCTGCGGCCCGAAATCTACAAGAAAATGTATTTAGTGAAATTTCGAAAATTTTGTTAAAAATTGGTCGAAAATTGGGCGGATATGACTTCTGCGGCCCGAAATCTACAAAAAATGTATTTAGTAAAATTTCGAAAATTTTGTTGAAAATTGGTCGAAAATTGGGGTATTTTGCATATTTTTTAATGTTTCAAAGGACGATTCTGGAAAAACCAATGGAGTTATCGAAGAAATGAAAGCGGATATGACTTCTGCGGCCCGAAATCTCAAGAAAATGTATTTAGTGAAATTTCGAAAATTTTGTTGAAAATTGGTCGAAAATTGGGGTAGGTAGGTACTTTGCATGTTTTTGAATGTTCCAAAGGACGATTCTGGAAAGACCATTGGAGTTATCGAAAAAATGAAAGAGGATATGACTTATGCGGCCCGAAATCTACAAGAAAATGTATTTAGTGAAATTTCGAAAATTTTGTTGAAAATTGGTAGAAAATTGGGCGGATTTTGCATATTTTTATATATTTCAAAGGACCATTCAGGAAGAACCATTGCAGTTATCGAAGAAATGAAAGCGGATATGACTTCTGCGGCCCGAAATCTCCAAGAAAATGTATTTAGTGAAATTTCGAAAATTTTGTTGAAAATTGGTCGGAAATTGGGGTATTTTGCTTATTTTTGAATGTTTTAAAGGACGATTCTGGAAAGACCATTGGAGTTATCGAAGAAATGAAAGCGGATATGACTTCTGCGGCCCGAAATCTACAAGAAAATGTATTTTGTAAAATTTCGAAAATTTTGTTGAAAATTGGTCGAAACTTGGGGTATTTTGCATATTTTTGAATGTTTCAAAGGACGATTCTGGAAAGACCATTAGAGTTATCGAACAGATGAAAGCGGATATGACTTCTGCAGCCCGAAATCTACAAGAAAATGTATTTAGTCGTGTTGTTCAAAGAAAAGTTTTGAGTAAAAAAGAAAGGCAAAGATACCACCCATTAGGATGTTCTCAATCTTGAGTCTCTATGCATCATCACACAATACTTATGTCATCGTAAACTTGGGACAAGTAATTCTTTCTTAAAGTTAATTCCTCAGGAATATTATTTTAGAAGTTTCGGTCCAAAAATTAAGAGTAATATTTTGTTGTTAAGTTTCTTCAACGGTATATTTTCAGTACAAAAATGCATAATTCACAGTAAAAATTCTCATATGATTTTCACTATGAAATGAGGAAATTAAAGATTGTGCTTGTCAGTATTTTCATGTTGAAGAACATGGCACTTCTTTTGGCATGAAATTTACAACACATTTTACTTATTGATGTAATTATCATTATGCGAATTTATGGAATTAATTTTACAACTAGTTTTCCCATTGAAATTGTGCAATATTAATAATTTATACTTACAACTTTCCCACAGGCGTTACAGAATAATTCGCTGTTGTCTATTTGAAAAATCTCTTTGTTTTGCCATTCCCTTAACTTGTCCTTTAAGGACTATTTGACTAGATGATAAACAATTTTTAAAACACTTTCACACTTTTGAATGTAACTTTACGAAAACCCAAAACGAACTAAATGATATAGGAAGAGAACTAGAAAAAAAAGTAGTAGGAGGGCTTGGTGTATTTGACACATCAAAGCTCTTCCTAGAAAATCAAGTTACCTTTCTTTCTAGTACCGAAAATGCATGTGACCTTCTCAAGAAACTGTCTTAGGGGTGTAGAAAATTCAGATTTTAGAACAAAATAGACAGAACAAAGTAAAACAGTCTCGTTTTTCTTCCAGGTCAAAATATGGTTTCAAAACAGGAGAAGCAAGTACAAGAAAATGATGAAGGCGGCGCAGGTGTCGGGGGGCAACAACAACAACGGGACTCCCGGGGGACATTCGGGACTTTTAGGACCTAATTCGAATTTACCGCCGACGAGTCCAGGACCACAAAGCCAAAATATGATGCCAGGTGAGAAACAAAGTTTTTGTGCTGAAACTAATCTAAATCGTGGATCGTACTTTTCTCCACAAAAAAAAATTAACGAATTTATAAATTGTCCGAATTCGGTGGTCTATTTTTGCTGACAGGTGCCGTCAAATCGCCCCTTTTCATGCGAAGAAAGTTCCTGTAATTAGTGTTCAGATTGTTGTTTAATGCTTGCCGATCTAGCCCGATAGCGAATTTTATTGGATCGCCGTTCTTTATAAATTTCATAAAGAATATTCATACAACGAAATCTTATCTCGCGTTGATACTATCGACCGTTTCCTGTTAGTAATAATACGATTTAAATAATAGTAGAGACCGTTATGTAATTTTAATTCTATTTTTTCGTTTCTCTCTATGACTCTGTGGTAGCAACGTGAAATCTCTTAAATTGTGCACTTGAGGGCAGACTGAAATTGGTTGCGACCAATCAAATTGGATTATGAGATAATCAAGGCTTGATTTCTTCATGACAGGTGGATGGGCGTAATTCGCTGAAAAATTAAAAATTCGGCGCGGTTGTAACAAAGACATTACCAGATTATCATTAATTTGAATTGCGACAGGTAGAACCAGTGGGACAAGTCAAAAGGAAAAGGAGAATTATGGTGGAAATGATGGACCTGGTGGCGAGATTTCTCGAAATGAAAGTTCGCGATAGTGCTGCAAAATTATGAATAAAAATAGAACGGATGTAGGTTTATATTTTTTACGTTTGTTTCGTTTCCGGCATGATCTATCAGCAACGTCTCAGAACTTGCGTGCCGTACAGTGTTGGAATATGATGTTCGAGATAAAAATATAGCGAATGTTTTTACGCGATCAGATCAGCATGCGAGAAATGTCACGCATTTCGTCTTATCAATGGTCATAAAATATGGACAAAAGAAATTAGGTTGTTATCGATTGTGGGTTAAGTGTGCTCCTCTATGCCCCCAAGGGAGAGAAAATTCAACTGTAAGAAATTGTGGAGCGTTGTTTTGCACCACTTCGAATTTAAAATTTGAGGGTTTAAGGGGACACTTTCACTGCCGGTATTAAGCTAATTAAAAAGCAACAGATGTAATGACTAGCCAGAGTAATAAATTCATCTTGCAATCTGCAATCAGTAATTACACATTACTGCAATAAAACTTCATACACGAACATGGTTTTTGTGGTTTTATAAGGTTTATCTGTAGGGGAGAGTTACATAAGACGAAATTCTAAACGAGGGTTTTTTGTTGACTTTTGGAAAGTTAAACCAATGCAATCAACATGTAACCACTTAAAAATCACGAACAGGCTGGAACAGATTGCACGTTTTTTGCAAAAACATGTAATTTGTTTTTTTGTAAAACATGCATTCGAATTTTGGGTTTTCTCCAGAAATATGTTCTTTTTTGCTGGATCTGATGATATTTTCTGTTATTTAAGTAATTCTAGGTATGCGATTTGATGCGGGTATTATAAGGATACCGACAGAAGAATAAATTAAATTGGATTGGTTTGTGATAATCTGGCGTGTTTTGAAGTAAAAAGATTTCGTAAGTTTATGAATAATTGTAACAGTTTTTGTTATTTGTAGAGAATTACCCCCACAGCTCAGCTTAAATGATATTGTATCTGAGTTACAAAAAGTCTGCTATTACAATTTTGTTACTAAGTTACTAAGACAAAACGTCCTTCTTTCTTGACGTACAACCACATAAATCCAGTTTATTAGATAAAACATAAAATTTAATTTTTTCGAATTTATTTTTTATATTACGCCTCCTAAAAGTTAAAACAATGGATTGTTAAAGAAGTATGCCGTGGGTGTGTTTCAAGAGAGTTTTTTTTATAACTTTTTAACAAAGACCAGAAAATAGTTTAAGATAAAGTTTACTTATATATTAATTTTATTTATTTTATGGGTAAAAAATATAGATAATACAATTCACAGTGGAAAAAAACACTAGGTAAGGATGGGATTCGAACCCACACGGCGCATCAGACATTCAGATTCAACTAAACCATTTCATGCAAACAAAAATTTTGTAAAGTGATAAAAATTAAGACGGATTCGTAAACCACGAGTACAGGAGTAGGTATGTTGTTTCATTACATCTAGATAACCTTAACTACTTAAAATAATGAAGGTAGATCGTCTAATTGTTGGTGGGGATGATCAAACAAATTCTGGTTAGCGTTTTGCCATCTATACGAAATTCGTAACTTGTATAAATATATAAAATTTGGCAGCAATCGATCTTGTAGTTTCTGAGATTTATCAGTGTAATAAAAATCGACATAGACGGCAGGCGGAAACGGGAGACCTATTTTTTCGTACTGTAGGGGTTATGAAACGTCGAGAAAATATGAAAATGGCCAGTATGGCCGACGGACTCGATTATAAGACTTTCCTAACTTACGCTCAGGAAGAAAAAAAAGATAAAACAACAAGAAGAAAATTACAATAAAAAGTCTTAAACAAAATCGACACAAAAGGTGACAGAAAAAAGAACAAAAAGTCTATAAAATATACAGCAAAAAAGGAAAAAAACACTGCAAAAAAGTGAATTAAAAAGGGGTCAACAAACACGACAAAAAATGAAAGGGAGTCAAAAAAGGCGACAAAACAGTCACAAAAATAAAGAAAAAAAAACGCTATAATAAAAGTAAGAAAAAGCTAACACAAAAGGTTAAAAAAAGAGAGGATAAAAACATTTGAACAAAAAAATGCGAAAAGCAAGACAAAAAAAAATAAAAAACGGGCGCAAAAGCAACAAGAAAACTTATAAAAAATAAAATAAACAAACTAGAAAAAAATCTACAAAAGTGGCGGCAAAAATGCAAGAACGGAGAGCAAAAAAAAACGATATGGTGCGGCCAAAAAAGAGGGCCAAAAAAGGAAGGACAAAAAATCAACAAAAAAGCAAATACCAAAAGTGAAAAAAAAACAAAAAAGGACATTAATAAAGGCTACACAAAAGCTTCGAAAAAGTCACAAAAAAGTAAATAAAATATGTGCAGAAGTATGTTATTTCATGAAATTTATGTAGCATTGGTGAAGATGATAAGACAGATTTTGTTTAGCGTTTTACCATCTACACGATATTCCTAAATTTTACAACAATTAGCCTGGTAGTTTCGGAACTTGTTCGTCTAACAAAACTCAGACAGACAGACAGATATACATAGAGACTATAGACAGAGGTAAACGTTAAGAAAACGCAAAAGTGACCGTTCTCCCGATGGACCCTATTACAAAAATCAAACAACTCAAAGAAAAACTAGGAGTTTTGAATTTATTAACCTTTCAAGCAGCAATTTTAGGTTTCGGATTAGAAAAAAATTAGAGGTTCTTTTTCCATATATCAAATTTGAGAACATAGCAATCCAGTTACTTGCCCGAATTGATCTTAAAAAATGTGTTACTTATCGAAAATATGTATCTTTTGGGTACTTCTAAACTTAATTATTCGTCTTGACAGAATTGTAAACTATTGCAAAGGTGGCGTAAAGTTTTAAAGCAAATTTTCAAAATAATAATCGTCAACGTAAATTCCCGGCCTTGATGTTCGCAGCTCAAGGCCTGGAAGCTTTCGCTATAAATTTTATGACTAACTTTTCAGCATAAAATTAATAACAAAAAAGTTTTTAGTAGAAAAATTGAGAAACCAGAGGACAGAAAACTTTAAGACGAGATAACTTTTGAGTTTTAATCCTATAGAAAATAATAGCAATTTATTACTGGATTGTTTAGTTGTGGGGTAAATCGGTGATGTGACGATTAATTATAGTTATTTGGACAAGAACGAACGCAACAGACTTTGTATTTGTGTCACAATTTTTACAAGTTCTAGAAATTTGAAGTTCTAGAATATCTTTTGATATGTTTGATTTAATCTTTTTGAATTGTGAATATTAGTTTAGAAAATTTACTAGCGGGTTTAGTGTGTGAAATTAGACTTTATACAAAGTAAATTTGTTTCTGTTAATATTTTGGGACAGTTTTTTAAGTTTTCTGAGGTTCCAAATGTAGAAAATGATAATAACATATCTTCTTAAGATTTCACGTTTTATAAATTTTAAAAGAAATGAAATTACTAGAATTGTAAGCATTTTTTTCATGCAATACCAAAATTTTGTGATGTTTATTTTGGTTACGGCATTATAACGTTTGAAGATATTGCCAAAACATGCAATCGCACCATCCCTTACTGATTCGTCAAAAAGAAAATATATTAACATACACACTTTACCCACTTGCTATTATTCGCCTCCTCTTTACATAAGGCCATTTCCACGAATTAAATTTGAAGCACGTCAACCGAGTCCACACCCTCGACGTCATTTGAATTTTATAACACGCTCTAGTAATACAACATGGCAGCCGGTGCCCATATTACGTTAGATACATGCGGCGACATCTGTTCCGGACTGTAGATATCATACAAGTCGTCGCCCACTTGATAAAGTACAACTTAACTGACACACATTGTTTCGCTATATTTCAGGGGGCGGATCGTCTAGTGGTTCACCAGCGACCGCCGGCTACATGCAGCATTCGTCGCCGGCCCCCAGTTCAACCCCAGGTTCAGACATGTCGGGTCAACCGGCAGCTAGTCCCGGCTGGGACGTCAAACCCCAGCAACCAATACACCCGCCACCTCATCCAGCGCCGCACCCACACCCGCCACACAACTACCTCCCACAATATTCGTGGTACCCCACGGACAACCCCGGCCTCCTTACGTAAGTGTGACCTGTGTATACTTTAGGAAAAAAATACGTTCGATCGGGAACTGATTTTTTTCTAAAATGAAGCGTGTGCGCAAGGTGTCTCAATTTAAGATCTTTTTACATAATTACATTATTTAGAAAATAACGATCTTGATTGAAACACCCTGTACATTATTTTTAACGACGTCGTGTAGATATTATTCGCTGACTGCTGTAACAGAGGTACTTAAACTTGATTGTCCTCTCGACACTTGATACAGCTTGGAACTTTTTTGGTTTAGTTTTACGTGAAGCAAATAATGTCTCTGTTTTTAATTTTGTTTCACATTGTCTGACATACACAAGTTTTCTTAACATATTTATGTGCAGTTCTTTTCACTTACAACCGGACGACCCTTGGAATAACTTTCATGAAAGTTTGCTTCAGCGGATCAAGTATTAAATCATCCAAGCACCTAGTCAAAGGAATTATGAGACCTTTGATGCCTACTTCATGATGTTATATAGGGTATGGAATTATTGTCAGGCACAACTTGTCTTGTTTCAAGAATTATGTTTTTAAGTTACAGATTAACGGGTCTAAATCTGTTATTTTTCGAGGGTTTTTAAGTTTTCGACAATGAAAACTGGCCCTTTGGGTTTTCCAAAAGTGAATTAAATTGTGTATCTTGGCATGGTAACTTCTCTGAAGGGAAAAAGACGTGTAATTTGACAATTTGCAGGTCTTTTTAGATTTATTCTGGGTTAAGATTAATAAAATTTATGCATAATGAAAATTACTGAATCAGCAGCAATCGTCTTTTTCCTTGTATCCATAATACTCTTATTTAACACCACCCTCACTTTTGTTTTTAGTTTAAAGAGTGAAGAGCTTATTTTCTCTTAAGTTAATTTGTTGGCAGGCTTAGATTTAAATCTTTATTTCATTTATGAATGAATGTTACAAAGCACCGAGTGTATTCTCCAGAAATATTAATATTAATGTCAAAATTATACCATAACAATTTATTTAAAGGATGATTTTAGATTGACCTTGTAGATCAAAAAATCATAGATAAGCTCGATGGTACATTGTTGAGAAACCACTGAAGAACTCAAAAAAAATGATTAAACAATTCGAAAGCCAAACTTTCTAAAATATATTATATTAAAGTTTAAATCTGAAGAATTAACTTTGTGATTTTAATTTGCTTGACTACGATCCACAAATTAATTTTTTACCGTTGTCAGATGTGATTATAGACAGTTTTTATTGATTAACTATACTATATAGATTTTTTTGAGTGGTTCACTGGTTTCTCAATAACGTATAGGCCATCCACGAAAACAGTGATTTTTACGACTTTGCAAATTTATGACACCACCAAACTTTATTGGCGGCTGTTTATTGAGTTTGACCGCCACATTTTCGTAAATAGGAATGGTTTATCTGTTTACAGCTATTAGTTAAGACGCTGTTGCTTCACACACCAGAGGTTGGGAAAAGTCAAAATCATAAAACGACTCTTTTCGTGGATGGTGTGTATCATCGAGCTTATCCGTGATCTGTTGATTATTATTCCTACTTGGTACTTCATTGAACCTATCAGAAGTCACTCTGATTATCGTTCATTATTTCAGAACCAGAATTATATGTAATTTGCTCAAGATATGCCGGATCTCGAGTCAAAATAATTTACAGTTGACGGGTTTTATAATTTCTTCCTGAAATTGCATTGACTGGGGGGTGCAAAAAAAAACAAAACAAAATTCCTAGTTTTGGTTAGCCATTTTTTTAAATTTAATTCAAGCTTTAGAAGCATGAGATTTTCATAATAAAATTTTGTTATGATATCATTAATTTATGTTCCTAGAATTTCAGGAAAATTAGATAAGTCATTTTTGATTTAATCAAGAATGTAAATGGCTTCATGCATCAATGACTTGAAACATCCTGTGTTAACAATTCTAAGAAATATATAGTCAGAACACAAATAACCTTGCATTTGAAAATAATTTTTTTAATTTAATTCAGATTTATTTAAGTTTTTATTTAGTTGACGTCAACTTTGGGGACATAATAAATAAATAAAATTTAGTTGTTTTGCAATCAGTTGTGAAATTAATGTTCATTTCAACCAAATTCTTTGCGTAGATTCTAAGAGAAACTGTAAAATTTCGTTCCAGATTTTTTTTTTATAAACATAATAAAAATTTGTAGTTCCAATTATATTTCAATTTCAATTTCAATTTCACAATCAGGAATGCCATCATAAAATTGTAAATATGTTGTCATCAAACATTAAGACTAACTCGGTATTATAATAATTAAAAAAAAACACTAATATTTATTATTTATTAACAACTCGTTAAATATTTTTTTTGTAAAAATGCGAATTCTGAACAAAAAGAGATTAAAAAAAATCAGCGATATGTTATTAAGATCATAAGTCTAAATTCGAGGACAATCATTAAAAAATTCCTTACGTCAATTTGACGCTCACTTCACAAGGTGAAAAATTAGCCACTGTTGACAGATTCACACTGAACTATTTTTAAGGGTTTTGTAATATCGTGTGATTTTTAAAATTTTTCCTCGAATTGACAGCTAACGTAAGCGCCATGATCGACTAGAGCAGAAATTTAAAAAATCACCTGCTGCTATAAAATGAGGAAAAGTATGGATAAATCGTGATATGTTGTTCAAAATATACAGGATGAGTCACTAAGGGTGCGAGTATCTCGTTAAATATTTTGTATTTAATTATTATTAGCATGGATTAAATTATTTTTATTATAAAAAGTGTTCTAATGATCTTATTTTATTTTTGGCATTTGAATGCGACGTTGCCGTGTTTTGCGAATTTTCACAAAAAGTTGTGCTTTTTATTGTACCATAAAGTTGAGCCTTGTTATATAGAACATTTACAAATAAAATCTAAAATATTATTGGGTGATCTAGAAATGACGGAAAAACTCGATGGTCCGTTGTATGATGTGCTTTTGAAAATATTAAATGTCAAAATTGAAGAAATAACTTCCTAATTTTGTTTTTTTTTATACATGTCTAACAGACAGTTAAATCATTAGTTTTTAATAATTTAAAATTAATTTGTTTGAATCAGAAACATAATTTTTTACTGTTGACATATGCCATTTTTATCGGAATTCGAAACTCTCAATAAAATTCACATTAAAACATAATTAACAAATTTTCAACTTTGAACTTTAATATTTACAAATTTTGGTTCAAGGATTAAAAAAATATTTAGAATTGATTAGAGTCTTCTTATCATCGTGGCTTTTCCGTCATTTTTGGATCACCTGTGTAACGTTCCGATAGAACACTCTGTATTTCATTACAACATGTTTCTGTGTATTTGCTCTATCTGACGTTGAAAGTTTTTGCAATTTTTTGTTTTATAGAGATACCAACATACTAAAAAAAAACAAAAAACAGAGTAAGATGATGTAGTAAAATATAGAGTGTCCTGTCACAAAAAAACTGAAATATTACTAGATATTTTTTAAAACACTCTGTATATTAAGGTTCGATTTTATTGAAATTACTACAAAATGTGTTTTGTGATCTAATGATGCGCCTCAAAAACAAGTCACTCTGTGTAGTAAGAAACAATTTTATAGGATGCTACTCAAAGAACTGAACTTTTGTCTTTGCCTTGGAATGACTCACCCTGTATATGATTAAATTAGCCAGATAGTCTCTGTGAGCAATAGATAACAAGTGTTGCCATAGCGCAAGCTTATTCAGATGTTTTTATTGCAGAAAAAAATCACAAATTAAAAATTAAACAGGTATACAATTCAAAATTATTTCTCGTGTAAAATTACCGATAGTTCGTTGCATATTTAATACCACAAAGTCCTAATTTACAAGCAACAATTTAGTTCAAACTTAAACAACATATTATTAAAACAAAAGCAATTTACAGCAAACTAGCAATTTTGTTAATTTTTACAAAACGCGTTTTCCTGTTTATTTTTTAAATAAATAAATCTGCAATTCTAGCAACAGCGCAAAATTAAAATTTCGTTCTTTTGTAGATTCATGGCTGTTAATGAAAAATGAAAGTACGAACACGGCATTATACATAATATAACATATTTTGAATAAATTAACGTTGAGAAAAGTGAAGGCAACAAGCAACCAAGTATAACGATATATTTTGTTTAATAAAAAAATAAAAATCGGAAATATGACATTTAGGTCAGATAGTCGTGGGTAGTACTGTTATATTATTTTGCATTTAAACTTAAACGTAATTTCTCCGACACGTTAACAATAATAAATAAACGAAAGTAGAGCCTAGAACTCGTGCTGCAACAGTAAACAGAAATTTGTAATAATGGATTCAGAATTTTTAACAAAAACTGTAAATTCGCTCGACCTACAGGCATGCATTCACGAATTTTGATACACAATTTAACCCGAGGGCATAATTTTCCATTTAAATTTTCTAATAAATGCCTAATAAAACCCAGATTTGTTCATACATATTAATCGTGTGGTAGTGGTTCCACGGGACTTTTTTTCAGTAGCCGAACATAAAATTATGCAAATGTGGTGTAACTCAGCTAAAAACCCAAACAGTTTATCGTAATGAGCGTCGCCCTAACGGCACAAACAAATTAAAGACGTGTTAATAATCCCGATCAGTGTCTAGTAGATCAGCGACTAATTGGCCGTCGTCCGCGCGTTTTTTCGAGTCACTCTGTATGATCTTCTCGCCGCCAAGTTGATGAATGCGTTTTTAATTAAACGGGGAAATTGTGGCCGGTGGTCGGTATGCAAACTATAAAATAAGAAAGAAAAATAAATCGCTCAAAGATCGTGACGTCTGTTATGACGTTAATTGCTAGTTTAAATGTTTCAATATTAACGTTGATGTAATGAAATTCTCCAAGGGGTGGACTTGTTGCGAGGCTCGTTTTCCTGGTTAGAGACCCGGAGAAATTACCGAGGTGCCAATGAGAGTTCAACGAACGAGAATTTGTTTATTACTGGAAAAATC